CAATAACATGAAGTATCAGATAGACTACAAAGACTAGATATGATATACGAGTAAAAACTGCGACTGAGTAAAATTAGTATTTAACATGCAATTCAATGTGTAACGCGGCCCCTACGGGACCCAACAGTGCCAACATATAGTCTAAATATGGTTTCTAACATGATTTACAGTCAATCTTTCATAACACATAGGGAGCATATAGTTAACATCATGTTGTTCAACTTTATAGTCCTACGGGACTGACCAAGTTACAATCCCCTCGGTGCACGCCCACACACCCGTCACCTAGCATGTGCGTCACCTCGAAAATAGTTCAAGACACAATGTCCGGGGTTTCATACCCTCCGGACCAGATTTATAACCGTTACTTACCTCAATTAGAGCAAAATTCTACTCTGCGATGCCTTTGCCTTTGAATCGGCCTCCAAACATCCCGAATCTAGCCAAAAGTAATACAACACATTCAATATATGCCAAAGGAACCAATTCCACAAGAAAACTACTAAATTGGGCTCAAATCCCGAAATTGGCTCAAACCTGGCCCCCGGTCCCACGTCTCGAAACCCTTATTTCACTTCATAGATCCTACTAATTAGGTGAGATATCAACGAAAAAATACCATAGCTAATGATAATAGAGCTCAAGCAACTTACCTCAGTGAATGTCCTTGAATCCCTTCCAAAAATCCTCCCAAAAGCTCCAAAGTCTGCGTTCAAAATGGTGGAAATGAGCAAAAATTCGTGAAGTATTCTATGTAAAGGTTCTGTCCAGGCATTTCGCACCTGTGGCTCAATATGCGCACCTGCGTAAAATCAATTAAAATCCCTGGACCGCTTCTACACCTCTAGACCGCATCTGCGATCATCACAGGTGGGGAATTGACATCGCACCTGCGGACCAACACACGCACCTGCTCCCTCTCTTCCACTTCTTCGACCATCGCAGGTGCGGGGTCTTCATCGCACCTGCGCCTTCTGCCCATCTCCTCCAATCTCGCATTTGCAATCCCCCGCTCGCTTCTGCGGGCTCGCACCTGCGATGAGACATTCGCAGGTGCGATTATGACAGTTGAGTTCCAACTTCAGCAATTCCCCAAACTTCAAACTTGATCCGTTAAACAACCTGAAACACATCTGAGGCCCTCGGAACCTCAACCAAACATAACAAGTCATATAACCCCATACAAACTTAGTCAAACCTTCGAATCACTCAAAACACCAAATTACACTCGGATTCAAGCCTAAGAACTTCTAAACTTCTGAATTCCACAACCGATGTCAAAACCCACTATACCGCGTCCGAATGACCTCAAATTTTGCACACAAGTCAAAAATGACACCACGAACCCACTCCAACTTCCGGAATTCCATTCCGACCCTGATATCAAAATCTCCACTGCCGACCAAAATCGCCAAAATTCCAACTTTCGCCAATTCAAGCCTAATTCTACTACGGACCTCCAAATTACATTCCGGACACGCTCCCAAGTCCAAAATCACCTAACAGAGCTAACGAAACCATCAAAATTCAAATCCGACATCGTTTACCTATAAGTCAATATCCGGTCAACTCCTCCAACTTAAATCTTTTCATAAGAGACTAAGTGTCACAGTTCACTCCAAAACCACTCCGCACCCGAACCAACGTATACGGTAAGTGAAAATACATCTAAAGAATACAAAAGAAGCAGGAAATAGGGGGGGGGGACGAGGGTATAACTCTTGAAACGACTGGTCGGGTCGTTATAGTTAAGTATGTCAATACTTTGAGATACCTTATACAAAAGTGAAAAAAAATTACCTCGATCCATGATGGTTTGATCATCCTCTCTTCCAATGCAGAAAATTCATATATTATCCTTTGTTGCTGTCCGATTAAGGATACGGGGGATCGAATTACCAACCCTTGTAGTTATATCTGTGTTGACTATAGAGCAATACTCATACAACCAGATTTGCATAGCGAGTGGAAAAGCTCGAAGGAGATAAAATGCACAGAAGGGTTCAACTTATGCCTAACAGACTGAAGCAACTGTGTATGAGCTTCTATACCCCATGCGAAAGTCGCATACTGCCCTAAGTCAATCAAATAGAACCTAAAGTGGTCTATCAAACTATTATCTTTCTCAGAAGGACGGAGGAAGAACTCTATCAGATATAGAATACATAGCTTAACTGCATCCTCATCATTCACCCAACTACGGCTGGTTACAATTTGTTTCAGATACGATTTCTTAACTTTTTCCTTGTTCAGAAAATAACTCCTCATTATTTTACTATCATATTTAGGTGTGTAACCAAAGTCGGTTACTTCTATAAAACAATTGAGCCAGGTAATAAGAACAAACTCCCTCAACCTAAAGTTCAACCTCTCATCCTTCATCTCTGCTGTGAAAAAATCAGACCAGGATGTGTTCAACCTAAAACTGATTTTGGGCATGCGAAGAAAGTGCCCAAAACATGTCTTCTTAATCAATTTTATCTCATTTTCTGACAATAATACCTTGATTAGGACAGGAACAGTAGGGTCGGATAATATTTGAAACCTAGTGATGCCATAATGAACATAATATGATGCAAAAAATGTCCGATTATGCACCAAATGGAAAAAATAGTTAATAACACATGTGTAAAGACAAAAAAAACGAATAACTATTCTGCTCCACTTTATCTATAGCCAGAAAGATAGTAATACATTGCAGACAAATAAATTACAAAATCAATAACAAATATAACAACAAGCTACAAATGAACCGACAATTATTTATTTAGAGCAAAAAACTAGAAAGTAACATACATTTAAAAAACTGAGGGGAAAACTAACAACTGGACATAATATATACAATTTGTTTACATAAAATAAAATTAACATCTACAAATAGAGCAAAAATTAACCAATAAAACTAACTAAATCATGTAATACATGCCATAACTATTTTTTTTAAATAATATACAACAAATCTACAATTTCCAGAAATATATAGAAATTTGATAAACAACAAGAAATATACACAATGTAGACAAAATTTCTACAATTACAGAACCAAAAAAAAAAATATGTATCAGGATTAGAATGAAAACAACTTTTTAACAAAAAATAAAAAAACAAAAATTGTAAGTACTATAATTTACCTTCTCTAATGACTTTTGGAGTATATTTTAGGAGATTTTTGATCCTTCTTCCTTTTTGAAGGTTTGCCAGTAGGTAAAACTTTAATTATTTTTTTTTTTTTGCAAGTTTCAGAATAACTCCTTCGACGAAATCATCATCACGAGCAATTTTTTTGCCTTTCCGTTTTACTGATTTAGCAGATGTTGAAGCTTCAGCAGCATCCCTGTCATGCTTGAGTTTTGTTCGCGCCTCTGCCCTAGCTTCACGAGGGGAAAGCTTGGACTTTCTCTCTGGTGTTGCATGTCTGGATTTCACCATTTTTTTGGGCGAATCATGTGAGAAAGCACCCATATTAAAAAAATAGGAATATCACAATTAGTAGCTTTTTTAGGGCTTTTCCTCGGAGTTCCTTTTTTCTTCATCCTAAGGGAAGGAAAATTAGAAGCAATAACGATTTCGTAGGGATTTTGAGAGAGAAATCAGAAAATTTGAGAGAGATATTGTAAAATATTTTTGAACAAAAATGGAAGAAAGTGTTAATGGAGGGATAGAGTATCAGAATCGAGGGGGATGTGCGCAGAGAAACGTGGGGGAGTGGGTTATGTACGTTAGCGTGATTAAAGGAGTTAATTGATATCTCATTTAATTCCTAAAATGTATTGGTAAATTATATATACCCATGTAATTAAACTGAAACTTAACTAAGGGAGGTAATAAGGTTTCATATATAGTGTATAAGAAGGTGAAAATCTCTTTTTAAAAAATTCATTATCCAACCTATTTTTTAATGAATAATATGCGTGAATAATTGTTTTCTTTTAACCATTTTGCCACCTCTACTCAAAATTATGATTCTGTATCTGTATATGGTGTCTTAGTATTTGCTATAGCTGTCAATTTAATATCTTACCGTATCAGCTTGAGAATCAAAGTACATTTGCATAATTATACAGAGACATGTTAGAAGGAGTGCAAGTCAATCAAATAGTTATAAGTATGGAAACAGTAGAAAAAACGTTATCAGGTACAAACGGGAACAAAATTTACTCAAGAAACATTTCTCTTATTAAATTACACAATCATTTTTCCCCGGAACCCCACCCAAAACCTTTAAAAAAATGAGGAAGACAATAACCAAATACTTAGGTGGAAACGCAGTACTTTCCTCGTATAATCTCTTGGTTGTACATTAATAAAAATTGTCTAAACTGACGTTTAATTTTTGGGCAAATATCACTTTTAGCCCATGGCCGAAATTATTCATTTTTTATAGCCGCAAAAGTGTATAAAATTTGTATTGTATATGACATAGAAAAATATGTGTGTGTATATGTGTGTCTATATATATATATATATATATATATATATATAATTTTTCGGCTATTATTTTGAGAGCTGCTATACAATATCATTTTTTCTTTAATCTATGTATATCTGCTATGAAAAGTAAACGGTGAATCTGACCTGTTATTTGATTGGAACGTCTTACCTTTTAATGTTTCCGTATGGACTGATTATCTCCTTAATCATGCATGTTCATTTTGTAGAGAGAGATACTACTCTAATGATTCACCAATCAACAATTTAATTGCCTGTTAATATAACAACCCCATACTTTCTAATTAGATGCATTCAAGAAGTGATTTTGACATTTTATGTAGGCAAGAAGAATTGAGCCCATGCACCCTCCACGTTTTCTCATGGCTATTGTAAGTGACAGTTAAGAAGGATGATGCATATGAAAACTGCATAAATCAGTGAGAACATAAAGTTGAAACATAGACACATAACTACTTATTAATTTATAACTTAGGACCAGAACCAGCAGAGTCTTGATAGTAAATTTACATCACATATCTGACCAAAAAATAAATAAACGAAGAATTAACCAAAATAATCGCACATCCAACCGCTTAAAGTATTAGTATAATTGTGTTAACCAGTGTATAGTAAATAATGAATTTGACCAGCTTTTGCCTTTTTGTATAAACAAAAAATTAAACTAAAGTATTTGAAAAACAAAAAAAGATCAATTAGAAATAGTTGTTTCATGACAAACAATTTACGACGGCATTCATGATGTACAAGCATTAAGTTGATGAACATGTTCCCACGTGTGAATTCAACGCATTCACATGGCGCTAACACGTGCGAGCCAAGAGAGAGAAAGAAAAGTTAGCTAGGTTTTGATGGTGATGACGACTGTGGTTGTAGAAGAAGAGGAGAAAATTTCCCATTATTACAAATCTCCATAAAAGCTTGAATAATAATATCATGGTGAGAAGGAGAATTCAGCTGTAAAAAACAATTCAAAAGCTCATGCAAATCATCCTGTTTGTATATTTCCTTCTCCAAAATCATTTGCAGCATAGATTGCCGGAAATCCTGAAAAGGGTCGTCGGAATTCTTGACGACGGCGACACTTCCGACGATTTTAGGACAAGGACTCACCATTTTGGAATCATGTGGAGATAATGAATCAGTGTTGATAGAAAATGTAGTGGAAGTTATTTGATCTTCCTCTTCATTATTATTATTATTATTATTATCATAATCTATGGAATTTGAAGAAGATTGAGAAATGGTGTTGTTTGATTTTGTTTTATTGGTGGTTTTGGGTTTTGGCTTAGGATCTGGTTGTATAATATCGGATAACTTGGGCTTGCCACAGCCACAGCCAGTTCCATCGGAAGTGATGAATAGTTTGGTGCAGTTCCATTTTTTCTTGTTTTTTGAAGACATTTGAGGATGTTATTTGGAGGAGGAGGAGAAAAGAAGAAGAAGATATAGAGAAGGGAAATTTTTAGTTAAAGTGATAATTATATTGTTGTTGTGTATTTTATTTCCAAACTTCCTTATCTTTGGTCTAGTTGGAGGAGAAAACGGATTGAGGCTTTTCTTTTTCTTTTTCTGGTCTCTTTCTTTTACGTTTTTTTTTTTTTTTTTTTTTTTTTTTGTGGGGGGAGGAGGGGGGGATATGGATGACGATGAGATTTGAATATTTGATTAAGCTAAGGATCGAAAGGTTTTGTTTTGTTTATCTTGACCCTTTTCCTTTTGCAAATTTTTTTTGCTAAAAATAAAGTGGTCGTTTGGTTTATTTACTTAGAATGAAATCTCATAGTAAAGTTCTGCTTAAGATAAGAAAAAGTAATTTGTTGGCCACATAAGATAAAGTAATTGTTGCATAACTAATTTAGTTGACAGTATTAGATAAGTCATACTAATAAATTATGGTATGAGAATCTACGTACTATTATGTTGTGCAAGATAAATTTTGAAATATATATGTGTATTATCAATGTAGAAATTAAATAATTTAACTACAAAAATTAACCTTTTATAGCAAGTAATTCATTATAATAATTTCTTTATTGTTAAATAAATTATCGCATTAAAATCACTTTAATATTAATTAACGCATAAACATTCGCTTACATTATAATCCCCATATAACTACATGTTAATCAAACACCCTTAATGGTATATAGTATATATTTTACACAATTTATATATAATTTTACTTGTTATAGTAGATCAATTTTATTTTCTAGGTTATATTTCCAGATAAACTGATAATGTAAAATATTAAAATTATTTTTTTTCAGTACATGAGTACAAGTGAGTATAACCTTTACCGTTTCTCAAATATCTTGCTATCAACTCAAGGTGATAAGTCTTGGCCTACGCGTTC